TATGTTTCAGTGCCGTCCATTGATATGGCACAAAAAGCGCTCTGCTTATAATCACTAAAAAGCGGTCACTCATCTTAAACTCTATCTTAAACGCCTCTGATTCAAGAAATCAACAGATATGTCTGCGATTGTCTACATTGCTCAACGCTGCAAAAACATGTTGAAATAGAAACCGGAGCGCAAAACCATAATGCACCGTTTGCCAAATCTTTAACTGAGGATGCTATTGATTTCGTTTGAGGGTGCTTAGCTTAGTTAACGGTTCAACCCAACCTTCTGCTAACCAGCGTTTAACCACTGCACCACAGCACAAGCCCAGTGTCTCATCCGGACGCTGAAGAAACTCCAGACTCTAAACAACTACAGCAGGAAAATCTTATTTCACTTGTGTTTAATTAATGCATTAAATTGAAAAACATTCAATATAATATTAGATGCTAAAAGTAATTAATTAATGCAATTAATGCACTAAAATTAAAAATAAAAACAATATTATATTGGTATATTGCAACAGTATATTGTCATCTGAACAAGTAAGGAGTCTGCCACTTTTGTTCTGACCAACTGAGGAAAAAAGCATTACAATAAATCACGCTATTTTATTCTCAAATTGTTAATGTTAACAACATCAGCATTGCGTGACTATGTGTGTATAGTGTGTATTAGCGACTAGATTTCGATTTCTGTACAGTCTAATCTCTAATTGTCATACCATTCGAATTCATATAAAGAAATTCTTTTTTTTAACCCAAAAAGCAAATTATTCTTCCTTCGAACTGGTTATAATCACAATTAATGCATTAATATAAAATGAAACATTAGATGAAGAGGCATAACTAATGCATTCAAATATTTTTATAATGCATGAGATATTAATGTTATAAAGTTACAGATTTGCTGTTTCATATACAGTAATGTGCAGTGAGACTGAAAATGAGTCTTACCGAATGTCGTCGTCTGTGACGGTGAAGGCTTTGCAGAGCGGCTGCGATGTGTTCAGCCATATGCTCGGGTTCTTGTCGGCCGCCGAGGACGTCTGACCCGTGATGGGTGCCGAGCTCATGTGCAGAGCGCTAGCGATGGCTGACAGAAGCGTCTCGTCCGCCGAGTCCGGCCCCATACCTGCGCCACAGCACCCATGTTAGCCAGCGATCGCAAACGCATTCAAACCAGACCCAACCAGCCTTACTCTGTAAACCTCTGGGCAGATCCATCGTCCTGAGCGCTCCCTCCGACACGTCCGATGAGCGCAAGCCCTTCAGACGCTTCTCCCAGAACAGCTGCGCAAAACACACCACACACAAGAAACCCATGAAGAATCAAATCACATCTGTGTCCCTGCAGCACAAAAGCAGTCTTAAGTCGCTGGGGTATATTTGTAGCAATAGCCAACAATACATTGTATGGGTCACAATTAAACATTTTTATTTTATGCCATTTATGCCATTATGATAAATGATAACGATCGTGATAAATGGTAAATAAGTAGATGCTGACAGCTCTTTCACGAACAGTAACATCTTCAAGGCTTGTAATGAATCTAATGAGCCACGTCGCTTTCAGAGTCTAGATCAGGTCATAATGAAAGTAAAGAGCTGATCTCAGAGCAGACGAGTTCGGCCCGCAGGAGTGTTTGTGTGTTTGCTGTCAGACATCAGCAGCGGCCCGCGGGACACATAAACCCAACAACCGCTCGTAAACACACTGTTACTGAGCTGCAGACTTCAATAAAGCGCCGCGGGGCTATTAGATACTGTTACAGCCCCATATACATGAGAACCTGGCTCATATACATCCACAC